AGGACTGACTCAACCGCTGCCTGCATTATTCAAATAAGCTGTATAAAGTTTCAATCAGAGAGATTCACATGGTAAAATATATAAGTAGAATTTCATAAACTTAAAAATAAACCAAAATAAAGACGTACCTTAATCCATTATTATTACCCTTTAGGGTAACAGCACTGCTACATTACTAGTTTTAACATGGTAGGCCTGTTCCCAGACATGCCATTGCCTGCTTCTAGAACAGGGGTCGGCAACCCCCCGGCACGTGTGCCCGGCTTGGCACGCGAGGCCACATCGGCTGGCACGCAAACTAATTTTTTTGCATTTGAGAGCTTGCTCGAGCCGGCTGTCAGATTGAAGTCCCACCCACCTCCCTGACGTGACCAGTTGACGTTCGTGCGCGGAGCCGCACTGAGGAGGTCCTGCCTGGCGGATTCTTTACCTGCAGCACGCAGGAATTTCCTTTCTACGAAGTAAAAATTTAGCTTCACTGTAAGTAAGGGTGAAAGTTAACACTTTCTGCTTCCCCCATACAGACTGCAAGAGGTGGCTCTACCACCTTTCCTGGCAGTGCCACTATGCAAACTACTGTCATTGGTACCTAGTTATGCAAACTTTCAAAACGCCATAATTTGTTTGACAGTATTTCTTTTTCTTACTAGTTACCGGATGGTTCAGATACTGTATTGGACTCCTCTATGATTTCAACAGAAAATGGAAAAACCAGCAGGTTTCCTAAACCACAGATGGAGATTAGCTTTAGTCCAGCAAAACCAAACAAAATGGAAATTAAACATCATGGAGATGACTCACCAATAACTGTGAGAATTACTAGAACTGCAAGAAAGAGGAAGAGTGCTGAAATGGCGCAGGTAATTATTTTAGTCCTAGTAACTATTTCCAAAACCGTTTATACATCACATCTAAGCAGGAATTTTGATGGCTATAAATGAGACACTTACAAAAAGCAGCTAAAGGTGCATGTCCAAGATAGATGTATTGTGCGTTTGTGACGGCACTGCTTTGAGGTGCTGTCACAAACATGGTGCTATACATTGACTTGTATAAAATTGCATTAGAGTCTGCAGTCAGACGTGTTTTTCATACATTGCTATTTCTTGAAATAAGTGAGAAGGATGTCCACAATTGCAGACTCCAGTGTCTGTTCTGTGTGGGCTTGCATCCTGACTGGACACAGTATTTCTCACAGGGGGCTTCTGAAAGAATGGTGTTGCTTGCTCAGCCTTGAAGCTTCCATTAAGCAAGACCACTGCTGCACTATCAAGGTTATAAATTAGGAAACATCATCCTCTGCAGTCATAAAAGAAAGAATATCACCTTACATCATCAGTGCATTCAGTACTGGCTGCCCACTAGGAGTCTGTGGCAAATTCTGAAAAAAAATGATAAATTAAGAACTATCGTCAGCTTTGTGGCCCTTCCAGAACGGTAAAGATCGTGTTTACTACAAACAATGTAAAATGCAATTATGAGTATAATACTTGCCATTTTTTGTCATATCATGCATGCTTATTATCACTCATTTGATTATAAAAACCTAAAATGAAAAAGTAATGATATTCTCTTCAGTATTTTGCTTGCTTTATTGGTGGTCCTGTTTTATAAAAACAACTTTGTGCAATGCTGTGAATTAACTTTTGAAGTTTTATTGTGGTGTGTCACAGCCTAATAAAAGTTGACAACCAAATATGGCACTGAGCACCAGCAGTTCTATCCAAAACATGGTGCTAATGCAATTGTAGAAATAGTACAACTCATTTACCTGAAATACAAAGTGCTGTTTATGATACCTGCATGCTCCTGTTTGTTATATGTGTAGACATTTTCACATTTGTAACAAGAGCGTTCCTTGTTCTGAGTGGAGCTGTGCTGTCATGCAGCAGAAACGATGAGCAACAGTCTTGCTAATTGTCAAGGTGTAGGGCCCAGGATCTTCAAAATAGCTTCTTTCCCATCGTACACAAAAAAGTGCTAAAGATACACTTTACTGAGAGAAATGCATAGGATGCTATTGTTGGCCTTATCTTCTAAAAATGCTGGCTATCAAACTGATTTAGAAGATTCAATACAAAGTATGCAGTTTAAGTGTTCTGATGTTACCCATACTACTTTTACTGCATACTTTGTTCCAGTACATTGAACTATACACGCCAACTGGCCAACATTTTCAGAAGTAGCTCAGCAATGGCAGTTTATGTATTTTTCTCAGTACAGGTTTCCTTTAACTGGTCGTCATTATGTTTTTCTTCTAGACAGAAAATGAGATATGCGAGTTGCACTTAATAGATGCCTCTCAGATTTGTATTTTTAAAGCTTTTTTATTTTGTAGAGTAGTTCTATGCAGGCACGACTGGAATGCTTTTATGGGGTTTTTTTTTACGAAAAAAAGACAGTCAAACAATTTTGCAGTAATAATTATCTGTTTCTCTAATTGATTTTCTTTTAAGCATACAATGCTCTCAAGCTGCTGGAAAATTAGATGCAAAGAGTCAGAGGGCACTAGGAACATTTGTCGGGTATTGAATTCATTTCATAGTGTGGGTGATTTAATAACCTGGAAAACATAATTTCTGTAGACTCCCATTATATGTTTCCTATGTTTATTAAAGCCAAATGCAAGCTTTTCTCATGCAATTGAAGTCATTCCTATAAATATGCGAAATACATTGAAAGTTAAAGCAGAAGGTGTGACATGTCGGCCTTTTTGGATTTATGGATCACAGGGCATCCACCATAGAATGCACCTATTCTCAGTCATATGGACAGGTTTTCAGTGGTCGGAGCATTTTTTTTAATTTTGTTAAGAGAAAGTGTGCCTTAAAGGGCAACTCTGCTAACTGTTCCCACTTCTACTCTGTTACATGTTCCCATTCAGTTAGCATAGTTTAAAAAAGATGCAGCTTACCATTTTTAATGATCAATTCTGGAAACTCCAGTACTGAAACATCCTGCTTAATTCTCGCTGTTTAAAAGGGGGGTTGCCATAATTAACCCTGCCTGTACTGTGCTAGATAAAGATCTTAAAGCATTGTTTTTATTCACTTTCCTGTCCCTTGATCTGTACATTATCTGCCACTGGTATATTTTTAAACCACTAGAAGCTGCCACAATCCTGCTCCAAAGAAACTGCTAGAAATATAAAAAAAAAAACAACTTTTAGGTTTGCTGTGTAAATGGGAACATGAAACATACATATTGTGTGTGGGGGGGGGAATTTCCATTTGACTGCAAGAGTACAAAAACACTTTCAGCTGGTGGTTTGTAAATTAAGTTTCCAAAGGTGGCCATACTAGACCTGTGAATCTAGTAATTATCTGATGCCTGTGGCAACAGATGTACCCCCAACAAACAACTCCTGAAGTGAAAGACCAACCAGGTGCCTTTTGAACAATGTTCCCCTGGTGTAAATAAGCAATGGGTCCTGCATTCTAGGTAGCCATATACAGTGGGATTGTGCTCCTAGACTGAACAGTGACACTCTTATGTATTTTCATCTTTGCTTTATCAGCAAGTAAAAATAGAACATTTTAGGTGCTGATTCTATAAATGTTCTGCTCGGCTATACATTGCCACTAGCGCCCCAAGAAGGCATTGAGGAGCATAGGAGCCTATGCTCCTCAGTGCCATCTCGTGAAAAATCTCCAATCTACCAAAACCTTGGCAGCATTGATAGTTGTCTTCCAAGTTCTGTAAATACCATTGCTCACTTCAAATTTTACAACACTCTTGCCTTTTGTCTGCCCCCATTAAGTACTGCGACAGACTGGTGAAAGAAATGCAGAAATTTGTAGCATACACAAATTTCTCAATATTATTTAATCAGTTGACATCCGCGGTGTTAAACCCCCTTCCCATCCAGGCCATTTTTCAGTATTCAGCGCTGCGGTACTTTGACTGACATTTATTCCGTCATGCAACGCTGTACTGAAATTAATTTTATACAGAAGGGTTCTCTTTGCAAACTGTTATTAACTTTTATACTGTTACTAACTACGTCATGAACCACCTTTTCATCTATAAATCATTCCATTAAAACTGATCTGTAAAAAAACAGCTACTAGATTTCACCATTAATGATCACCATAAAAGGAAGTTTTGTCTGTTCTGAGACTTATGTGCTGTATTTCGGATGCATCCTTAAAGGATCTCCCATAGTTCTGTTTGATCATAAAGGTTAATTATGAGAAGCGCTTGCAGAGATTAAGTAGAACAGGTTCTTTGTAGCGCTATCCCAAAATCTCTTGTGGATTACTATGCTGATGTTAATTCTGACCAGAAGCAGGATCAATTAAAAAAGAAATGATCCACATCCAATATCCATGATATTTTGACAACTGAAAGTAATGTGTGCACAACTAGTTCTTTGTTTTATCTCTTACGTGTTGTATACACCAGACTCATTTGTGTATTTCCAGCACAGAAAAATGAACTACTTCACAAAAAAAAAAAACTTAGAGCCAATGGTGTGTTTAAAATGCTGTCTTTATCCCTCCTTGAGGGGATTTTGCTGTAAGATTTTAAAGCCCAATTGAACCTTTTTCACGTATCACTATAATGCAATCGGGCTGCATATACAAAAATAAATCTGCCTCTTTTTTTCCTTTATTAAAAAAATCAGCTTAAAATACTCTGCTGGTAGCTAAAAAGACTGCAGCGCTCTCCCCCAAAACAGCCCACTCTCCTGTGGTCCCACAGGCCTCACTAAACACTGCTCTAATCAACATTACTCTCTCTGAGCAGAGCTAGTAATGAGAGCAATGATCAAGGGGTGTGTTTGAGAGCTGGACTTTTGTTTGAGTGCAGCAGTTTCATATTCTAGTAATTGCCAGTACAGGGTTATTTAACTGTATAAAAAAGGGGGATACTCAATACTGTATATGCAGTGTTGTACGTTAAAAGGGTTCAATTTGTAGATTCTCTGCTAATAAGCTCTAAACTTGTAAAAAAAAACTTCAGAAGGCAGAGTTCAGGGGGGGTCTGTCTTGCATTGAACTATTAAACTTCTAACCATGGTTTCCTTTTTATTAGTATTGATTTCTAAGGTGACGAACGAACCATTGAAGAGCCAGCACCTGGCCTGAGGTGCACGGGTACAAGTATCTGCAGCGGAACACAGCTCATTTTGATCATATGTTTGTCTGTTTCTTTTTTAATTGAGGCTCTGCGTTACACTTTAAAATGAGAAGATGCCACCATTCCCTTCTCTACCACAGTGTCTGGGCTCAGTTCTTATAGACCTAAATGTTTCGCCAAGGTTTCCTCATCAACCTCTATTCATTGAATTTATGTATAAAGATTGGGTACACCCTGAAAAATTTTTGAGTGCCAAAGCACTTTATAGTACTCTATCTTTTTGCAGAGGATTCCAGTTAGTAGGGGCCTTTAGGGATACTGACAAGAAGTTGGCAGAACCCTATCATAACAGCTACTCCTTAGTGTTGAGGAAGCATATTCCTCAACACTGCTGCTGCTATACTGCTGCTCCTGCTTGAACAGCGACACGTGGAGCTTCAATCTTTGATCCGTTCTTGCTGCCCGCCTTAAGTGACTTTGGGTCCCTTCAACCATCCAACATTCACCTGCTACAAGCTGTCTGGGTTTACTAAGGCCTGTACTCTTACCATGAACCTATACGCTGCCTTATCACTACACAGCCACAACATGTCTGATTCTAGACATGGAGGGAGGGGGAAACAGTTCTGCTATTCTGGATGACCCAGCTCCCATTCTACTAATGGTGCCAGTGTCTGCAGCCTGAAATTATATGATGATCTGCTCTTAGTCTGTTCTGCCCTTGGCTCCATCAGGCGTGGCTGGGCCCTCTTTCCTCTCAGCTGGGGTTTTTATCACCCAGTTTTTTTTCTGACCGCCATCAGGTGCAGACACTCTGATTCTGAGTTGCTCCAGTGCTTTTCGATCATGATTGATAAAACAACCATCCAACTCTCCACCCATGCCAGGGTGCTAGGTGTCATCCTTGACTCAGACCTCACCTTTCTTCCCCACATCCAATCCCCAAATCCTGCCGTCTTCACCTTCGTAACATCTCCAAAATACGCCCCTCCCTCACCAATGAAACCTCAAAACTACTCATACACTCCCTTGTTATCTTTCATCTCGACTATTGTAACTCCCTCCTCATTGGCCTTCCACTCCACAGGCTATCCCCCCCCCCCCCCCCCCCCCCCCT